TGAGGACAGCTCCACTGCTGGTGGCATACTCAAACACAGCAAAGAGAGTAAACGTGTATCTAGTTGCACTTGTCAAACCAGACACTGTGTATGTTTCAGAATTTGCCGATATGTTTTCATTTCGTTCATTGAACTGAAGAGTATAAATATCTATGTTATTATTTTTTTTCCACTTTAGAGTGATACTGGTGTCATTTTGGCCATCGGTGCTGAAGCCTTCAACATCACCAGGAGCTGGAATGGAATGAAAGAGAGTTTTAAAAAAACGCTGATTTGGACAATCAATCATTTTAATGTCAAACACATAACAGTAGAAAGTACAAATATTTGGGACATAGTGCTAATGTCGAATGGTTGTAATGAACAGATAAAAAGATATAAAATTAATCTTATAATTTTCCATCATACATGTGTGGATGATCTGAATGTCGTGGCTTTGGGACCTATCAAAGATATAAAATAATGTTTCTTTCAGGCAAAAAACATCAACCTGTGAGTTTCTAGGAAAACAAATGAGAGGGGAAAATGAAATAGCAGATACCCTCACTCCCTAAATATGTCACAGGACAGTGTATATACCTGTGCATGAGGGAGCTAAAGAGAAAGACACTTTCTGTACATTCTTAGAGTTCTGATTTCAGAGTTTCATGTTGACAGTTCAAAGTGCTCATGACATGTGACTTCTGTCAGATTTGTTCAAACAAAAGCTTTAATATCGAATGAAATGTTAAATGTATATGATTCTAAGCAAGAGATTATGTTTCAAAAGTCAATATTCTAATCAAGCTGTGTACAAATATGTGTACAAATATCAAAGAAAATAAATCTTACCAGTGACTGCAGGGAGGCTTTTTCCTTCACTTCTGGTGCCGTTGAGTACAGTAAAAAGAGTGAAATTGTATTTGGTCCCACTCTCCAGGCCTGTGGCTGTGTGTGTTATGTTTTTCTCTGAGTAAGGAATTTCAGTTTGGGTTCCATTGAAAACGAGTAAGTAGTTACTGATGCCATCAACTTTTGTCCACAGCAGAGTTATACTGGTCAGGTTCTGTCCAAGTATTCTGATATCTTCAACGTCAAGGGGGGCTACAACTGTTTTAAAAAATATAGGATTTCTCAAGTCTGAAACATGACACCACATTAAAATAATAAAACATAAAAACCATCAAGCAATTTTCTACATTGCTCATTCTTTGTACAGTTGGTAGGTGCACTGCATCCTATGCCAGTTATACTTTGAAACCCCAACTCAAAATTGTACTAATGTATAAAATGTACCATACAGTTGATTGACTTTATCACAGTGAATAGTGTTTTGACAAGTTTTACCGGTGTCCTATAATTAAATGCAGAACAAGTCTTCACTGAGCTGTTGCTCCTTCTTTGTCGAATGTAAGTATTACAATTGTGTTATACAAATTTCAAACGTGTAAAATGATCCAGAAAAAACTACATTAGACTGCAAGTCATAATTATTAGACACATTTTCATTAAAGTTGGCATAAAAAGCAACTTGAATTATACTCACGTGGTTTTGAGACTGCTATTTCAGGGTCTGGTGCTGCTGTTTTTCCACTTGTCGGTGTTGCTGTCAGGGTAATGCTTGGTGGGGAAGTTGTTGTGCACACAATAGAAACCTGGGAGCAGGATCAGCATCACAGAAAATGAGACACTTAACAAACCTTTCAAAAGAAAATAAAGAAACACATTGAATCTTCACTCTGATTTAACATATACTTAAGAGTAGAGGGGAAATTTCATTTTCAGTAGAAAGAATCTTCAGCTTGACCAGGCTCAGGAAGGGTGTCCATCTGCCCTAACCAGCTTGGGGTTGAGAGGTCAGGGGAGAAGGGGCAGCAAACACCATAATATCATACCAGGGATACTTGCACAGTCTGTGGACATTAGGCTAAAGCAATAACTGAGCGGGCTAACGCAACATCTTCTCTGCTTTCAATCTTCTTCAATATGTGATCCAACATTCTTTGAACAGTGGCACTATTTACCAAACAGGCAAATCACTAACAAACTAACAACAAACAGGAACGGGACTACTGTAAAGGAAAAAACAAAACATCCTGGTTAAGCTTTAACTTCATATATGTAGTAAAATCATTTTATGGTTCCTTAGTGAAATGACCCACAAGTGTCACTGGCCATAATGTGAGATGCCTGTCGTCTCCAACTGTGAAGTAATCACCTGAGATCATTCCGGCCCATTTCTATATGGTTCTAGCATTCAAACGTAATCATTTCTATTCATCCAGTCCAAGTGAGACTGGTGTCAATAAACATGAGAACAGGAGGTTGTCTAGCTAATGTGTAGCCCACGGCTAGTTTCCATACTTATTACCCAAATAACAGCTGAAAAGACAGGTTTATATTGCAGAGTAATTGTCCTCCTTGGGTCAAGCTAATCATTTCCTCCTAGACCAAAGATAACGTTTGACTAATTTACTGCACTCTATGAAGCTCACACCGTCACCTAAAGCTGACACACTTGGGACATGACCTGAAAGAATTTGATTCAGAGAAAAAACAATCACACTAAGTGCATACATGGACGTTTTCCTGCTGATTAGATTATTAAAAATGGCCTTAACCCTCCTTTTTTGTCTGATTAAAACTGAATTCTTATTGACTCAGATCAGTTAGGTGAAGGTGTTTTTTGAAGCCATTGATACAAAAAAAAGCTGCCCGATTTCAGTACAACCACTGAAGTGTTCAGATGCTGGTGCACAGGAAACTTTAAAAATCATCAGAGAATGTCAAATGCAAATAACAGCCCGGAAACTGTTGTATGATTTTGTAGGACCATAAATACAAGAACACCTGAAACAAGTGAACCAAAGCAAACAAAAAGGAAGCAACTGAACCCACAACCAAAACTGAAAAAATATATATTTAAAATCTATTGAAGAAATCTTAAATACATATAACTTGACTGTAACAATTTTTAGATCCTATATTGACATATTTGCTGATCAATGCTGTTATAAAGAGGAAGTAAATTGTATTTAGCTGTAAAACAAATAGCCTAATTCAGATTTCACAATCTGAGAGTGTCCACGGTCTAGTTACTACTGTTGGTGTTTTCTGTTAATTCTGATATTTCAGAATATCCAACTTCGCTCCTGCATTTCAGTAGCCTAATGCACTGAGCCCTTTCTTTTTCCGAGGTCTAACCCTTTGAATACAGCTACACCATCTGATCACAATTGAGGCAGAAAAAAAGACATTAATGACTCCTTACCCAAAGTAGACTCAAGAAGACGCAGAGCCACAAGTGGTTTAGGGAGGATTTGAGAGGTAACAGCTTCATCTTTGTTATGGATTACGAATCTTTCCACATGCAATGAACATGTTAAGTTGAACTTTGTTGTTCAAAGTTGAACTTCAGCTCTCTCTTTTACTCCCTGCCGCTGGTATGTTGACAAAATAAACAAGTCTGTCCAAGTTAGGGCTAATATATATGAATAACAACTTTATTCCAGAGGTGTTGACTTTTAATTCACAACACTATCCTCCTCCTGTAACCTCTGGTCCGTCCTCAAACTGCCAAAAGACTAAGTAAATCACTACTTCTCCTTTCACGCCTTGTATAAGAAGAGAGACCTTTGCCCCGCCTGTTACTTCCTCATTAACGGTCATAGTGTGTCACTTATCAAAGGTAGAAATGTATCAATTTGTTTATTTGTGGTAACTGCTTCCTTATGCTGAAACAGACAGGTGTATACTTGTGACTGGCAGAATGTGTTGGTTATGAGTAATAAAAGATAAGAGATTTTGCATGTTACATTGTAAAATTCAAAAAACGAATGAAAACAAATAAGAATATCTGCATCATTCTCTTTGGCCCCATTTCTCCAGTTTATTTCTTTTGTTAAAATCCCTATGTGAACTGATTACAGTAGTTCTTCGCCTTGTTTCTGGGCACCCTTTCTGCAAGCTGTGATATTTGTGGTTGTAGTTGTGTTGTGGTTATTCTATTCTAAGATTAATTCCATGCCAAATTACTGTTGAAGCAACACAACTAAAAATAGTCTCTATGGTGTTTTATTATAACTAGAGCTCAATAAAAGTGCTGATATGACTGATGTTCACTGGGGAAACAAATTGAGGAAGTTGCATCTGTAAATGAAAGGTCTGAAAGCTCTCCTCATCTTTAGATGTTGTATA